GGCAGCAGCTCCGTATCTGCCTGCCAAGAACTTTTACTCAGAGAACACAGAAACAAAAAACAATACACACAGTTTGAAATTCAATCCACAGCAAACTACTTCGCCAGAGATTTAGCTTTGTCCGTCACAGAGTCCAAATGGCCACCACCTCCCTTTTATAGCCTGTGGGGTGTGGTCCAGTGACTCAGCTTAATCTCTGACACGCCTCCTTTTCTGCTGCGCACGCTTGTCGCACCTACGCTGGCGTGGATCCAGCCACAACGTATCTTCATCACTATCCGAAACGCCTGGCTCCTGGCCAATCTCAGAAACACCTGGCTCCTGATCAATCTCTTCTCTGTCGGGAGACACCTGAGGCATTGCCAGAGAGGAGGGTCCTGGAGAGGGAGGCCTGGCCATCTCCTCTCCTTCATGTTCGGAGCCTTCTTCCTCCGATAAGAGGGGCTCACAAGACGGAGCCACAACACTGCCATGAACAGCTTTCAAAGCAGGGTGGGTGGGTCAGCGACTTAGTTATCCATTATGGCTGGGGAGATACTCTACAGCAGGGCTTTTCAACCTTTTCACCCATTGTACCACTTTTAGGATATGGCAATATCCGAGTACCACTAGTCACCTAGCAAGGTGTCAAAAACTTGACCAAAAAAAAAAAAGGAAAAAAGTGATACAGGTAGTCCTTGACTTACAACAGTTTGCTTTAGTGACTGTTCGAAGTTACAATGGCACTGAAAAAAGTGCCCCCTAAGCCACAGCCGAGCAAGACACCTGCCTGCTCACTCAGCGGCACTCTTCCTCCTGTCCGAGGTTTTCATTGTTGTGAGGCATTTCTGTTGAGGATTGGCAGCGGGGGTGTGGTGGGGGGTGTTTGGTTTTTATTCCCCCCGTCTGCTGGGTGGTTGCAGCAGGTATTGGTCACTTGACCCTGGGACACTGTGACCATCATAAATATGAATCAGTTGCCAAGCATCTGAATGTAAATCACAAGACCCTGGAGATGCTGCAACATTCCAGCTGATTGGTGCTTCTTCAAGGCTCAGCAGAAGCACCAGGATCAGTGCCAAGCTCCAGCTGGAGCCTGGTGCTGATCCTGGTGTTTCCGCTGAGCCCTGACAGCCCTGCAGCTCCAGCTATCTCTCGCTCAGGCTTGTGCGGTGCTGCCACCGGTTCAGCTCATTCCCCTCCCCCGCTACCACTTTTCTAGGATGGCCGCGTACCACCTGCCAGGTGCCAATGTACCACAGGTGGTACCCGTACCACTGGTTGAAAAGCCCTGCTCTACAGCCTGGCCCTTGTTCTTTAAACCAGTGGTTGCTTCACAGTAGGCTTTTGCTTCTCATCAGAATGGCTGAAAAGTTGCCATCCCGGCTGCTTTGTCCAGTACCCTTCTTGGTGTTCATACCAAAATTATTCTGTCTTATGTTTGCTCAGGCTGGTCGATACCACCAGATGCTCTTGAGACTTTAATCCCTTCATTGCCCCCCCACCCTACCCCCATCAATACAAACCGTGCCAGATCCTCCAAGCACTTATTCTGAGGAGAGATTTTGAGGCAACGATTATTTGATCCAGGCTACATAAGGGCCCTCTTTATCCCTTCATTTCCTCACTGCTTTCCAGTCCTCTGCTATGAATCTATCCAATTTGCTTGGTGACCATTTCCCTTCCCTTTTATAACTACCGTGTGCTTTTTCTTATAGGTGCTGGATGCTGCCTCCCTGTCCACTCCCAATGAAACCAGTTCCATGTTGCCCATGGATGCCTCCCATGTCCACTGGCACCGTCCTTCAGCCGAGCACCTCTCTGTCAGTTTCACTTTGAGCTGGACTTATCCTTCCAGCAAGGCCACCTGCTTCCGTGTGCATCACCGGAGCGGTTCGTGTGTCAGAGACTCTGAACCGCCTCTTCTCCTGCTTGGGGAAGCACATGGCTGCCTGTACCGCGTGACTCAGCTAGCAGTGCCTAACCCTCAAACTGTGTCCTCATGCCGCCTGGAGCTCCTGGTGGAGCCAGTCCCTAATGATGGGAGCAACGTTGATTCTGCCATGTGGGGAAAACTCACCTTTGTGTACTCTAACCCAAAGCTACCAGTGAACGCTGCCACACTTCCTCCACACCCACACCCTGGCCCGTGAACATAACATAGACAGAAGCTTCACCCATCATAAACTAAGGCTAAGAGGTGCACAAGGTGACATCCTTTTAATAAAGCCTGTTTGTTGCTTTCATTAGAGTTTCTTCGCTCAGGACGTGGTCCTATGGTCTTACAGAATTGACATTCAAGAGCCAAAGATATTTGGATGTACACGGATCCTGTGTACTTGGCAGGGAATTAATGCTCAAAACAGATTTATTAATGGACAGCGTAGCCTACAGACCTTGCTTTTAAAATATAAACATCCGCTCACTGCACAGTTACAAATAGCGGTGTCATTAAGATGGAAACAGGTGGCAATTGTCAAATCTGCTTCCAGTTGGATCCCTTTAATGAGCGGAGAGGGAAAATCATTAGCTCTCATCAACAGGGAGCTTTAGACTCAAATGAAATAGGAGGATGTGAGAAAATTTCAGTTTTTTTTAAATAACCAATACTGCAGAACAGTGTTTCTCATCCTCAGTAACTTTAAGATGGGTGGGCTTCAACTTCCAGAATTCCCCAGCCAGCATCGATTCTGTATTTCTGCATAGTTGACCCAGAGAGCCTTAAACTTGTGCTTCCTCTCAACCCCTAGAAACCACTTCCCAGCAACTCTGTTGCTTGTAAATAATGAAAGGGGAAGACAGCAGAGACACCCCCGGGCATTTCACTATGCATCTCTATAGTAGGTTGGGAGGGGGGGAATGTCCTCTGGACTTGGTGCACAATGCAGTATTCTATTGCCATGGAATCTGCTTGGGTTCTGGTGATATTGGACTACAGCAATCAATAGGGATTTGCTCTTAGGGATACATGGCAATTTGCAGCTTAGTACTGAATGCAACTCTAAATGTGTAAAGGCTAAATAGTACATTATGAGGCCTGTTATTTCTTCAACAGGATTAATCCTATGGTTCCCTGAATATTAAGGTCAAATGCTGGATTTCCACTGTGCTGCTGCGGAAGCAAACTTGCTAACTTTTAAATTCTAATTCAATTTCGTATTCATAACTGCGTTATGCTTCCATGGCATTTGTTGCGGTTGCCGCAACTATTAATGTTGCAGTAAAATTTCGATTTTATCCTTTTTCACCGATACTCAAAAAAATAATTGTGCTTCCTTCCCTAGGATTATTAGGAAAGCATACAAAATCTAAAAATACCAACAGCATTTTTGTGCACTTTTAAGAGTTTGGGTTTACAGAAAATAGAGTGCAGTAGAGTTCAAAGTTTTGCTTAACGATCAGCCCCTTATCTCCGGGGGCGGGGGGCAGAAGAGCAATTTAAAAAAAATTTCTTTCCCCTTGCGGAAAGTGGTGGAGGCCAATTTCCTGATTTAGCTAAAATTAAAAGCAGGGCCATGTAAAGAAAACGGGGGGCCTGTGTCCGGAGCAAAACACGAGCTGCAACTGACACTGAGGAGCTGCGCCTGCCGAGGCAATGAGGGCGAAAAGGGGCCGCTGAGCGCTTTTGCGCCACTGCAGCTTTCAGAATTAAAGTTAACCTAGTCATTGCATTTCCAGAACGTCGTACAATTTTTGTTTCTGGTCCCTTGGCGTCTTTGGCAAGAGCTGACAATACTATTTGTTTCAGAAGAAACCTCTCAGGTGAAATGATTTGTTGTGGCTCGCTTTGGCTGTGTGCTTGGCTCCGCTGCAGGTTAGGCAGTGAGATTTACAGGAAGCTGTGTCTGATCTGAATGAGAAGGTGGCTGCATGGGAAGCGCCAACACTCCTTTTACAGCACCTGTGTGGCAGCAATAATTTCTGCCCCATTTGCTGTAATAGGCATACTTTTATTTTCCCATTTTGCCCGTAGACGGGTGAGCACCTGGGAGAAGACCATGGTCAAGCATTTCTCGACTGCTGCCGAGGAGACTACAGGGACGGATCCGTGGAGTTGAGCTCAGTTTGAAGGGGGTGTTGCCTGTAAACTCTTAATGGCAGGGCCAGAGAACGGGCCATGCAATCTCCTGCTTCTCCTCCTGGTCTGGTCTGATCTGGTTATGTGGGGAGTCCCTCTCGTCCTGCTTTGCGCAAAACCACCAACACACCCCCTTTCTGAACTCCTGATGCAGCGCTTGGCAAGAGAATTGATAGCAGCAATTATTCCTTCGCAGTCTGGCATGCAGGCAATTAGCAGCTGGGAGTTTGGCCAAGCACGGCACACATGGGGATCTCTCGGTTCTTTGCTGCACAGGCCTGTCTCCACATGTGGCTACGGCTCAAGGCAAAAGGAAATTGATACAGCGACATTTACGCTGCCGGTGCTGGTCAGATGGGCATGAATGCAACGAGAGCAAGAAATTGACATTTTGAAAAATGTCGGCCCTGGCATAGGGATGGACTCATGACATTTTCTCTCGGTTTTGGATTTTGCTCTTTTTCACTTTATGCACCAAGGCGCCCATGTCACTCAGCTGTAGCCCTTATTTCAGGCAGCGAAGACGCTGTTTTTATCTCTAACGTTTCCTCTTTCCTGTCCTCTCCTCTCCCTCCAGTGGCACATCTTCATTAATTGATGGAGGCAGCATTTATGATGAGAAGGTCTTGTACAAATCCACTGGGTCTGTCCTGTGGACGTGGATGGCAGCCTTCTCCATCTACTTGGGTTCTGAGTATTTATTTTTAAAGTACAATTCTCACTTAGCTCTCCACTAATCATGCTGACTGAAGCTGGTGGGTACTGAACTGATATAGAAACCTGCTATGAGTTTTCATCCTCCACATCTATGGCCCCATCTGAGTATTTGCTTTACACCCCGCTCTTTCTACTCTGATAAGCTTTCAAGGCAACTAAAAATGTCCCTTCAAAAGGGCTTTTCCTGCAGATCTGCACAGCTGGACAGATGGGCAAGGAAAGAATTGGATTTCTTAGCCATCAGTGTTAGTGCCTGAAATTGGGCCCAGTAACCGATCACTAGTGCAGATGTCTCCATGCAAGGTGACATTATGTGATCTTTGTAACTTGCACCAGTTTTCTAATCCCATTTTGCACGACTTGCAACTTCCAGGCACTTTCAGAGTGATAGGAATTGATTCAGACTTGAGATGATTTCCATACGAAGACAGATTTACAGCTGGAGGTCAGCAGTGACTGCAGGGCAGGGGTGAGGTCATACCACATACACAAGAGAGTAGGGTTTCAATTGTGCAGTTGTGGTTGCCATCTTGACCTTACTGCCCAGTTCACCCCACACCCCAATTCTTTCAGATACTTATGTGGAGGTGACAGAAATGGTAGGAGTCTAAGGTGTAGAATTAAATAAATACTATTTATGGGAACTATATAATTCAGTCAACGTATAACCAACTGATCGATGCATAGTCAATGCTATGAAGGGATACAAGATATTATGAACCTCTGATGGAACTGCACTTCCTTTAGGATACTTGCAGTGCAATGACCTGGGGTTGCCCAATGCCTTTTCCCGCCTATCTTGGAGATGGGCAGCAGACACAGAGGAAGCATGGGATGTCTTGTTGTATGTTTGTGTGCTCCCAGACCATTGGTCCTAGTGTTCAAGCCTAATGGGGGGAATGTTTCTCCTTATTCAGCAAATGCAAGCAAGGTCATTTCCCCAATAGGCAAATTGGATTTTCTCAATCCAAGAGAATTAAGAGACCCAATCTCTCTTCTGGTCCCTGTTTCCTGTATCTAGTCTTGGTCTTCTGCCCTAATTGGGTTGGGAGAGATGCAAAAAAGGTGTCTATCCACAGTGCTTAGAAGTGGGATTTTTTAAAAGGGACAGCTCATACATCCAATGCTTTGGAGCATCCAATCAGTGCTTCTCCGCTCTGTCCAGCCCAAGAGGGTTGCAGTAAAATTAGCAAGACGAGTTGGGTCAAAGCTGAGTCAATGACCTGAATTAAATTGAAGGGAAAGAAAAAGGATGCAGCAAGACGATTGGGTGGCCTTGACAAGTTAGCCAGAAATGTTCTTCTGGATGTTAATTTGGGCACATGAACTCGTTCCCTGCAAGATTTCTTGTACTGCCTACTAGAAAAGATTTGCCTTCTGTCCCTGGTTTTCTCTTGTCTAGGATTTTTATCATACATCCGTATCTTCCTAAAGCCAGAATGGGACAACTCACTGCAGCCAACTCGCCATGGCCAACTTGCCACAGCCAACTTACCATGGGACAACTTGCTGCAGGACAATTCAATTTAATTATTTAAAATAATTAAAAAAATATTTTAATTTTTGTCATTGACGTTTCATTTTGTCCCTCCTTTGGCATCCTTTCTCTAATGATTCTATTCCACAATTTCTTAGATATTAGTGTAATTCCCGCAGCGAGTTGGCCATGGCAAATTGTCCCGTGGTGAGCTGGTGCGGTGAATTCGCTGCAGCAAATTGGCCGTGGCAAGTTGGCCATGATGAGTGAGTTGGCTGTGGCGAGTTGCCGTAGACCAGTGGTTCTCAACCTGTGGGTCGGGACCCCATTTGGGGTCGATCGACCATTTCACGGGGGTCGCCAAGCAAGGCTGTCCGCCATTTTTTTCCCCCTTTTCCGGCAGGTGCCTTACCTCCCTTGGGCTGGGCCAGTTGGTGGTCGGCCTGCTCCGTCTCTGCCGCTTGCCAGCTACGCCTCGGCCGGCGCAGGGGGCGGAACCACGCATGCGCGGCGCTCCCGGGCAGGGAAAGTCCTCAACTTACGACCGGTTGGGTAGTCCTCGACTTACGACCGGTTTAGTCGACTTACGACCAGTTGGGGTCGCGGCATTAAAAAGGTTGAGAACCACTGCCTTAGACCCTCCTGGAGCAGCCTGTATTTCGCAAATTCTCCTTCCTGTTTGCACCCTTCCCAATCAAAATCTTGAGCCATCCTCATTGAAGAAAGAAACCTTTATTAATAAATAATAATAATAATAATAATAAATACTGTTTATTTGAATGGTCACACTTTTGAAGCATATAGAATGGGGTGGGTAGCTGATGCTCCCAGGGTGGGAGAGGGGGTAGCAAATGGGAGGGGGGGTTGTACAAGGGGGCAGGAGAGGCAAAGGTGGGGCTATGTACAACGGGAATAGAAAAGGAGGATCATCTGGTTGCTGGCATGTCAGGAGCTTTAATGCTGAATAGAAAGTGAGGTTTCATGAGATGACTAAGCCAAGGGGAGGTCAAGAGCAGGGAGGAGGCCCTGAGTCCATCTGGCTCTGGGGTGGGGTGGGGTGGGGCGGGGTGGGTGGGCGATGGGACATGCACTCCTCCCATGAAGGGCTGTGGGCAGGGAGGAAACCCTGGGTGGCAGCGGCGGTGGTGACAGCAGCAGCGGCGGTGGCGCAGCTTGGTCTGTGTAGCAAAACGGTTCTTTCTCCGAATGCCCTGGTGCCCAGCCTGGCCCCCTCCCCAGCTGGGGGCTATGCTGCTCTCCCCTGCCAGCCACACAGTCCTTGAGGAAATGCTTGCCCAGCACCCTGGCTTCAGTGTGATGGAGGGGGAGGCGTTTCTCGGCCCTCCGGTGCAGGGTGGGAAGTTCTGGGGGAGACCTGGAGACCTCGGACTTTCTCAGCTCTGAGTTCAGCCAGGCCTCCCCCAAGGACAGCTGCAGGGGTGGAGTTCGCTGCCTTGTGGGCCGATGGGAGCCGGGATCCTCAGGGGGAGAGGAAAGTGCAACTTCTTCAAAGAAATCCCCCTTGAAAACCTGGGGTGCCCATCCACCGGCGTACCCCAGAAGCCCTCAGCCTGGCCCTACACCATACAGGAATCCAAGGCTTGCCGACTTGACCAACGGATGAACCAGCAAAGCGCAAAAACACTGGGAACTTCTGGGATGCAAGAAGCAGGACGGCTAGCCCTGCCGGCGCTCATGGCGTCTTCTGCGGTCTGGGAGGGCCGCAGGTCTTCAGGAGGGCTGGAAGGAAGACGTGGTGGCCTGGGGCCTGCAGATTCCAGTCTGTGTCAGTACCTGTCCCTCCTGGCCCCGTGGTCTGCAGCAGGGAGGAGCAGGGCACGGGTCTCCTGATGCGGACGGCTTTGCGGAGTCTGCATGGGGCTGCCGTGCCGTCCATCTGTCCGGGCAGACTGTCAGTAGTTGCGCTCCGGCTGGCCTGTCGCTTGGGGCGCATGTGTGGACAGAAGGGGGCTTTCACTCAGTCGCTTGGCTTGTTAGTTTTGTAATAGTTTGTTGCTTTGCTTTAAAAAAAAATGTTTTGTGCCCTTCCTGGTCCCAGAAGGAAACAGCTGAAGGTTTCACTACAACAGAAAACAAAGGCAGAATGTTCCATGGAGCAACCTGCAGGCTGTGGCCTGGGGGGAGGGGAAATGGGGCAGGAGGAGAAGGCAGGGAAGCGCTTTCCGCTCTCTCTGTGTATGCTGGTCCAGAATGTTAGGTTTGGGAAGTGGACTTCCAAGTAACTTTAAGCTCTGCATGTCCCTTTTATACACAGCTGTGGGTCCATTTTGCTCAGCAAATCAGTGAAGAGGAAAGTTACCCAAGCCCTGATTGGAACTGTTAGCCAGCACTGTGAAAGGAGTTGGGATTGCTCAGCCCCACCCAGGGCCCGATCCCAGTCAGCTCCCTCAGAGACCTAAATGCTAGGCCCAGAGGGGACCCTGTGGGGTCTCCTACTCACTGTACATTGTCCAGATCACCTCCCAGTCCCTACCAAGGCCAGCCTAGCAGTACATCCCTCACTCATTTCCCAATAGGAAGAGGGGACCTTAGTTTTTCTCTCCTTGCAAGAGAGAGAGAAAGATGCCCCTCTGGTTGATACAGGGCCTGAGCTGGCCTCTCTTTTCCCTCTGGGAAGGATCTAGGCTGCTGCCCACCTGGCACTTTTTACCCTGCCTTTGTGTGAGGGAGAAGAAGGGCCACTGCACTCGAGAGGGACGATATCCTGAGTTCCTTTGGCCAGAGCCTCTCCTTTAGAAGTGTGAGAGCAGAAACGATGCAGGAGGCCTCACAGGGGCCTCCTCCGAGTGCAACAGTATCCCAAAGGCCCTCATGGGGCTTGATTTAACAGGAGAATTCAGACACTGGGTGGCTCTATAGGAGGCAGAGGGTTCCTTGAGATTATCTTGTTGGTGTGTGTATGTGTGTGTGTTTGTGTTTGTGTGTGTGTGTGTTTGTCTGGTTAAAGCAGGCACCTGTCCCAGCTCCCTGGCTGGCTGCTTTGCAAAATGACGCAAATGTGGCCAATACACCATCAGAGACAAGTGGGAGGAGAGGCATGGCAGGTGGCTTGAGGTAAAGAGATGGGTGATTTAGGCTGCCAAGGGCCAGCAGCAGGGGACGGGGCCCATGTCCACGGGGTTTTGGTTGGATTTCTAAGGAGCAGTCAGTGTTACTACTGTGAGGAGGGTCTGGGTCTGTCTTGCTAGTAGGGAGTGAAGCGGCTGTACCCTCCTCGGTATAGACTAGCCTGCAACATCAAAGACGGAGAAAAAGCCAATCAGTATAAAGGAGAGGCACAGCCCATCCCTGCCCTGTCCTTGGAGCCAATATGGGGGTGGGCACTGGCAGAGACCTTCTTCTGAAGTGGGAGCAAGGGCCAAGGGCAGTGGGGTAGAAGTGGGGGTTTGACTCAACCTCCCAGAATGCAAAGCTGCCTTGGGGCAGATTTCACAGGAAAACTATCCAGACGGATAAGGCCGATATGCATTTTAAAGAGGAAAGTAATGTAAAATGGTGCCTTGGGGGCAGGTGCCTAGCACTTTCCTATGAATCCTTCCATGGATAAAGGAAGCAAGGGCCTTACAAAACCATGCCTCAGTTTCCCTTAATCTAGACAGATGCCTCCCTCTCAGTATTCCCCCTCTTCCATGGGGTTGACAGTTCAATGCAAATCTTGTGGTATCACTAGGAAGGCCCTGATGGGCAAAGGTGATTGCAGGATGGCTTGAAATCTTTCTCCTCTTTGATGCTGCTTAGAGCCCTGATTACAAGGAGGCATCGCTGCAGGAACTGGATGTGGAAGTGTATTCAGGAACAGGAAGGATGGGAGGTGACTTTGGGGAGAGTCCCTGTGCACGCACACCTTGCTCAGCTCCAACCCACTTCTTAAAGTATTTGCCCCTTGAAGCACTGCTTTTGAATGAAGGGTCCCTTACACCTGTACAAGCTGCTGCTCGCTTCAGGTGGTTTTTAAGAAGGGCATCACTTGTTCAGGAAACCATCTTTTCTATTATGTGCATCCCCTGGCAATGAGGGCAGCCAGGGTTAGCCCAGCCCTAGATGTGTGCTTCTTCTCTAAGAATCTTCCTGCTTAGGGTTTCTCGGGCCCCGGACTGCTGATTAATAGGACTGCAGCTGAGATCTGAGTGTCAGTATCCCCAGAGACATCCCAGATCTTTCTTCCTCTTTTCCCAAGTACCCAACCTGACCGCACACATTCCCCCAAGGTCTCGATGGCTATGCACAAATGGATAGAAGGCCCCATTCTTACCATGGTGCCGATGCTGTAGGTGGCAGCAGGGCCAATAGTGTGGTGGTAAGGGTCTGCAGCTGCATAAACTCTGCCGTAACTAGGAGCGAACACAGGGGGCAGCGTTAGAAACTGAGGAATCGCTGAGTTGCCAACCCTAAGTGTTCAAAAAACCATGAATCAGGCCCCAATCATCATTAACTTTGCTTCAAGTCATGATAAACATAGAAGAAATGACAAGAAATGTTCACTGAGATTTTAGCAAAGGCCCCCGAGTTACTTTTCCCAAGTAGGTGTCCACCAAATGTGCTAGGACTACAATCCCAGCTTTACAGCCATGCATAGTTTGAAGGATGCCAAATGGGGAAAACGACCCAGTAGCGAATTGCTCCAATTCCCCACCCCAGAGAGATCATTTCAAATTACAAACATCCCAAAAAGGAGAGCGCTAGAATTCAAAAGCTACATTTTTACTGACAATCCTCATCTCCTTTTTTTTTTTTACTGGGATGCAATTTCAGAAGGGAGAAGGAAGGAAAGGATCGGCTTCTAGATGAGCAAGCAGGTCATTGTAAAGATGTCCTTTCCTAGAGAGATACTAATGGCCAAAAAATGTACAGGTATCACTGTGGCCTAAACAAGAGGTGGCCAAGCCTTCTTTGGAGGGTTGGGGGAAGTTGGTAGGACAGGGCCCCCAACTGTGTGGTCTTATGAAATTGTCTCTTAGATGTCTGCAAGGGATTTTGGATTTCTCCTTCAGTTCTGTGCATTTTGTAGCTCAAAAACTACCTTAGCACTGCTTTTCCAGTGTGCAAACAGATATTCTGAAGGTTTGATTTGCAGGGGAGATTTGTAACCCAGAAGCAGGAAAAGAATATTTGTTTTCCCAGCAGGGAAGGAATAAAAGCATTGGCAGCCAAAGGATGTCGGGAACAGTCATCCCAGCTGTAGTTCCTCCACATTATCCTTGTTTAACTTCTTGTGTGCATCCTGCAATTCTGTGAGGGCACAGATCATTATTTATTTTAATCAAAGGAGAAGTAGGAGTGACTGGGTGACTGGGTTGTGCTGATTAGAACTGGTTTTGTAAGGGACCCAGAGAATGTAAATAATTGTTTCCTGGCGGTGGATGAAGTTGGAGCAGATCTTTTGTCAATTTTGGATTTTATGAGCCAAAAGAAGAAATTGTATGAGGATTTTATGTTGGGGAGAAAGAAAACATGAGAAATGAATAAACAACTAAAAGCTAAAATTTGAGAAACTTTTTGGCCAACATTCTCAAGCAAAGAATGGAATTAACACGAATATAGAAAAAGTAACATTCTTAAGAAGATTTTATCATGAGAATCCTTAGGATTTCTTATCTGTAAATAACCTCAGAAAGTAGCAGCATCTAGCCAGTGCTGGCTGATTTTGAAAAGGCAAACAAGATTGGAACTTGTTATTCACTGGATGGGAGACCACCAGTAATTCCCAGGTTAGACTGAGAAATCAGAAAGACATTCTGGAATTGGGCATTGCTAATCTGCTTCTATATTGTGGCCAAGAAAACTATGTGTATGTCATAGAAATCACTGCTTATGGACCGTTTGGTTAAGATCAAGAAGTGTGTCACAGAAAGGAAGCTTGAATCAAAGATGTCTCTAACTTTTAATCCTGAAACAGCCCTGTACAGCCCAGTCAGTACCAGAACATCAACAATGACCTACTTTACAGGGCTGTGGTTCTATAGATGGGAAGGGCTTGGCTGAGAGGGTCACCATCTAAGACCACATGCATGTTCCTTGCCAGATGTGAATGTTAAATCTGATTGGCAAGACCAGCTTGTCCCAATGCGAGTATAGTCGCTAACTATCTTTCAAGGACAGAAACACACAACACCCTCAATCCACCAGGAAGGCCACTCCCCTGTGTCCCCCCCCAGACACTCATTAAAATTGTTTTCTGACTTATCTGGTTGGTTAATTGTTGGGCTTCATTTCCATGTAGGCCACCACCTGTATTCTAAGGCAGAGGTCCCCAACCTTTTGGGCGCCAAGGACCGGTTCCGTGGAGAGAGGTTTTTCCATGGACCGGAGGGGGCGTGGTTTTGTGTGCTGCCTGCATCTCGCGGATGGGGCTTTGCTTGTTTGTGCGGACCGGTTGCTGGCATATCGCGGCCCGGTACTGGTCCACGGACCGGGGGTTGGGGACTCCTGTTCTAAGGGGAAACTGTGCCCGGTGATGGGAATGATCCCACTTCCCTAGCCATTGGTTGCTGCCCTCCTGACTATTCTGCCCTGGGTGGCTGGGTGGGCTACCCTCTTCTGAGAGGTCTGGACCAGAAAAGCTGTGCCTTTTTTTTTCTTCTTCCCAGGAAATCTGGTGAAACACTGGCATTTTTTAAAAAGGAAGCTCACTAGTAGAATGGGGAAAGGCTAAGCTTTTTTTCCTTTTTTAAATAATTGATGAAATGGGAAAACAGGGATCTTTTGGTTTTTGTTTAACTGGGGGAAATTTGCAAGAGTTGTGATTCCTCTGTAGTCCAACTGACTAGAATAATGAGAAAACTGTGGTTCTTCTCTTTTCTTCTGGTCCACTGATCCAAACACAAGGGAGGGGCTCATATTAAAAAATGTTCCATTGGAAACCAGCATCCTGAAATTTCCCCCATGGAAAGAAAGTAGTCAAGAAGTGGGAAAACCCACCAACTGGGACTATGGTAAATGCAGCCTGAAGTGAGCACCGGGCCACCAGCATGGCCAAAAAAGGAGGAAGAATTTGAAATCTGGAAAGGTTTTTATTTCCTGCAGGTTTCTACATGGAAGGCAAGCAATTAAAAGCTGTCATGTGGAAGAACCCTTAGTTTACAGCGTCCTTTTTTAATGAGAGTTACTGCACACGTTTTATGATATCTCCCTATGAATTAACACAACATATGTGCATTTTAAGTGGAACTGAGCAGCTGAACACACACATTGCGTTGCTTTACTTAGCAGGATAATACAAGTATAGAAAGCAGGAGAATGAAAAATGTTTTCTAGGAAAGGTTTCCAAGCAGAAATAAATGTGTACCACTGATAAAAATTTATTTATTTATTTATTTATTTATTTATTTATTTATTTATTTATTTATTTATTTATTTATTTATTTATTTATTTATTTATTTATTTATCAAATTTATACCCCGCCCTTCTCCTAACGGACTCAGGGTGGCTTACAGCCAGTTAAAACAGATAACTAATACAATAATACTAAATTTAAAATGTGATTAAAATGAAATATTAATTATTGGCCATTTCTTTTTAAAATTATTTTAAAACCAGATTAAAATACCCCTTAAATGTACTATTCTGCTGGTAGTATTTCCTGCAATGGGTCATTCCTCCCCAGGTTTATCCCAATATTTCTTATTTAAGCCCCTTATAATGCATTGTTTCTCATAAATATTTTCACATCCTTCATATTTATTTACTCAGTTATTACTTTGTTGTGCATTTTAACCTGCTTTTCATTAACAGCAGAAGAATAATCTACCACTAACCTAATTAAATGACAGTCGTTTTTTAATAGGATGCTAAAACATATCAAGGAAGTAGGATGATAAGAATGTTGCATGTCAACAAATGCCTGATTAAGAAAATAGTCTCTTCCATTTCCCAAATAAAGCTTCAGCGGTTACCACTGTAATAATTATGCCTGTGTGAAGAAGGGCTGCTTGATTTTGCAGAATTGTTTTGGCTCCGATAAATGCAATGAAAAGGCCCTGCAGTGTGGAAAAGCAACTTTGCTTCGAATGAAATGTCTTTGGCGCATGATCAGAATTTTATTGGAGGCCAGCGAAGTGACTTCTCCCGGAAAGCGTGGCCACTCTGCTCCAGCCCCTGTTTTGTGGAGCCACATTGAAAAAGCGCTTGGCTGAACAAACAATCAAAGCAAAACGCCCCTTCAATGCTTCCTACCCCCAAACCCCCCCTTTGTAATAATTGTTTTTAGAAAGGGAAGATAAGCACAAAGGATTAATTGAGTTGTTTTGTTGCCTCCGAGAGAGAGAGACTCCGTTTAACAACATAACCTCTCCAAACTCAGGCCACTTCAATACAGCCATTCATCTTATCAGCATGAAATTCTGTATACTGGCAAGCCAGAAAGCGCACACACTTCAGTGAAAAGTATAAAAAGGAGGAAGAGAAGCAATGGTTGCTTGTGAAAAACGGAAGAGGGAAACAAGAACAGGGAACAAAATGAGGCAGAGCCCAGACCACAGACTCTTTGCACTGTGGACAAACCAGCTCCCAGCCTTTGAGTGTTGTGTACTCTGCTGATTATTTTAGGGTCTGCCAGGACTTCCAGTATTCCCTCTATCCCTGGGCAAACCAGTCCATGGGGGCTGGAAACCGTTTCTGACTGAAGGAGGTGGTGTCCCTTTTCTCCCTGGTGCATCAGTAACAATTCCCTGGTACAGGGACACCACTGTGAATCCCTGCATCCAAGCGATGGGCTGATAAGGGGACCAGACACCAAGGCGCAAGACGACTTACCTGTCGCTGTAAGCTGTTGCTGCTGCTGCCGCAGGCTGGGCGTATCTGTAGGCTGCATAGCCCCCCTGGAGTAGATGAGAGAGACAAGCATTAGGGGTGAAGGTGTGACTGCAGTATCACAGGGGAAGGGCACATTTTTGGGGGGATCTCAGGTGCTGGCCAGGAGGGAGATGTGTACCCACAGGCCCAGCCCCTCTCCAATCTCATTAGCATTCCCTGGGGGCCTTGCTACCATTAACCTGCAGAAATTAAACATGCTGAGGAGAGAATGTCACCTCCCTAGCGGGTGGCGGTGTTAACGAGATGTCGCCTCTGATAAATCTGTCAGTGTGTGCCTGAAGTATTGCCCAGAGCACTTTAAATATGGAAAGGAAACGCTGCTGTGACCCGACAGGCTGACACCAGGCCAGAAAATAAATCCTGCCCTCTGTAGGAGCGGATGCACCCTTTACCCCCACCCTCACAGGTAGCCTGCTTCCCATCTCCAGTTGCTGCACACGCAGGAAGTGTGATTTCAAGCTTTTCCTTTCCACCCTTAACCTCCCTTAGCCATGGAAAGTGCTGGGATGAGTCTTGGAAGAGCGATGAGAAAATCTGTAGAGCTAATGGGAGAGGCTCAGAGGCGGCCCAACTGCTGCTGCTTCCTGAGCGCTGGGCCCCAGGTTGTTTTCCCACTGTGTTTTGGCAGCCTTGGCCCCTGTTTGCATCACTTAATGAAAAGAGCAAGCAGGGGGGATTTCTCTTTGACAGAACAGCCTTCCTGGAAGGGCCTGTGCCTGGTTACCAGCAAAGGCTGCCAAGACTCTGCAGGAACCAGAGGATGCTTTGACTAGAAATGAAAAAAAAAAAAAAGTATCTCCTAAGGAAACTTTGAAAGGATGGACTTACATAAATTTCAGCACCGTAGAATCCGTCCTGGTAAACCACTCTGCAAAAGCAAGAAGAAGGTGGCTGTGACTAAGAATTACTTTGGGTAGGGCTCTTTGAAGCTCACTCTGCAAGACTGGCTGTGTTCCAGACAGGAGCACCAGAGCAGGCATCAGATGGGCCTTTGTGGCTCTGGTGTTTGGACCTATCGGTTGCTTTTCTCTACCCTGACAGCAGGAGAGGAGCAAATGCCGGCATCAAGCAAGTGGATAGAACGGTCTGCCTGACAATCAACAGGGAAGATCATGAAGGTGTTCGTGGGGGGAACCTGGAGCCAGCCACTCCTGGCCATGCAGCCCCACACGATAGTCACACACATTCCGTGAAAGATTTTGCTTCATTTTCGTCATTTTAAAAAAGGAGCAGGTTTCTGATCCATACAGTGAGAGGCTTTATGGGATGGTCAACACAGTTATCTACTCTCTTCCACATATCATCTAGTGATGCTTTCCTTCCTGTATTCTTCATGTTTGTCTAATTACTAAAAGAAGCCTATACAACACAAGATATAAGAAGATGAGTTTCAGAAGGAAGCATGAACATAAATATGTTATGCAAAGTACACCAGCATGTACTTAATTTGCTTGCATAATTTATGCTGGTCAAGGAAATAGAAGATTCCTGTTGAAAAAGTGGAATGATTGGGAGCATGACTTCTCCAGCTGTGGGTTGACTCTGAAATGTACAGTGCCACCTGGGCAAATTCTCTTCCTAACCTTACCAAAATGGTGCCCTCCAGAAATATTATACTCCAATGCCCATAATTTCCAGACAACAGGTACGATCTGTAGGAATCTCTATAGGAAAATTGAGGTCAATGAGAAATCCAAGGATAACTCTGAATTTTCCAACCATGTGTCCAGGAATCTAGGACAACAGAGACTTATGTCTTAATCATACCGGAACCCAACAGAGAAGCTTCAGGAAGGCATGTCTTAAAATTAATATGGCTTTTAATGAACCATAGATCACAGTGCCCAGAGATGAGACATATGGGAAAGACTCTCCTGGGTCTTGAGAAGATTTCCCATCTAACTTTGCCTTTTTTGGAAGTGCCAAACCACCCATTTTTGTAAGGGAGCCTCTCTGCTCAATACTCACGCTCCATAAGTGGGGATGGGGGGAGGTGGGGGAGCCGCTCGGAAAGTGTTGTAGACTGTGCGCCCTCGGCCCCTTAAGTGCGTCCCCCGGTACGCTACTGCGGTTCCTGTAGCTGGATATGGAAAACCGGTCACTGAAGGAGGGGAAGAAATAACCATGAGGACCAGTGTGGAATAGCCCCAAATTTTAAACTCTGTTCTCCATTCCCCCCTTCCTCTCCCAAGAATAAGGGATAAGCTTTTCCCATCTCCTTCCTCAGGCACGATCCTCGCAGCTGACTTATGAATCCAACCCATCCATACAATATTCCTTCCTATTTAATATTTGAGGAGCTGTTACAGAGAAGGGGGTGGGTGGGTTTAACCTATTTTCCAAAGCATCTGAAGGCAGGACAAGAAGTTACAGATGGAAATCTATCAAGGAGAGAACCAACCTAGAACTAAAGATAAATTTCTTGGCAATGAGAACAATTAATCAATGGAATGGCTTGCTTTCAGAAGTTGTGAGTGCTCCATCCCTGGAGGTTTTTAAGCGATTGGAAGCCATTTGTCTGGAATGGTATAGGTTCTCTTGCTTGAGCAGAGGGTTGGACTAGAAGACCTCCAAGGTCCCTTCCAACACTGTTATTCTGTATTCTGTATTTCTGTTCCTATTCCAAATGTTGTCTTCAAGACTTTGGTCCTCTATCATAAATCTATCAAGAATTATGCAGTACAGCTACAGGATATAAGTATGTCTCAGCTCTACTCACATTTGTTCTCTTTTTTCACAATAAAATCCAGATACACACATAGTTTTCTCTCTCTCCACTTTATCCCTACTTTATCCAAACCAATGTCTGAAGCTAGTTATGTAAAGTACAGATGGAGGAATAAGCTGTTTGCAAAAATTATAAGATCCACAAACAGAGCTGCTTGCTAAATGGAGCTCAGGGTGGCAGGGGTGGGGTCTAAATGATGTCCCAGATCCTCCAAGTTCCATCTGGATTCATACACCACATTAAACCCTAAACCTAGGCTAACAACATAGAATTCCTCTACTTATATGTTAAGGCCCAAGCAAACAAATGAGATTATGGTTTTATGTGATTGCTGGGTTCATACAATATGCTAAGAGAGAGTGTAACCGGGTACCACAGCATACTGAGCTATAAATTCCATAGGCCTATTTAGCTGCGTTGAATATGTTGTGGTAGCTGTACCACAAATATTATGAGATGCATTGAATACATTCAGTGATATGTTTTATGGTGTATTTATACTACCCCTAAATCTGGATCTGAACTGTTATAATTTGGCCAGTCTAGAACCCTAATTTACAATGGGGAGTCAAAAATCCTTGCCATTTGACAATAAATGACTTAATAATGTACCTGTGGATTAGGTACATAGTTAATAGTCTACCAATCCTAGAGTGAATTTTCAAGATAGTGATTTGCCTAAAATTAGGCAGAAAGCCCCATGACTAAGCAGGAATTCAAGCCTGGTATTCCCCAGACCTAGTGCACCCATTCCCTCCTCTCTCCTCCCGCTCCCCCCTGGCTTATTGACTTCTTGCTTTCTTCTTTGCAAGCAATTGCCTGTGGCATTCTAGGAATAAGCAAGAGGTAGATTCTGCTATGAAATTCAGAAGTCCTGCCAGATCCCTAAGAGATAACGCTTCTCCATGGATCTGGCCCGATTCAGACATTACCTGCATAGAATTCAGGGCCATAGACGGCGCCCACTACAGGGTTCAGCTTCCAGCCTGGAAACAAAGAAGGAGGCAGTCAGAAAGCATTGGTCTCTCAGTCCTCCTAAACTGGCATTCCAAGAAGTGGGCTGGAGGGGGTGCTAGGTTCATTAGGCATTGCCTTTGAAGAGGGAAATCTGAAGCAGTTGCTTTAATAGGCTGGGTGCTCCTCTTGCCATCTCTGTTTCCAGAGATACAACCCAAATCCATGCTTTGCATTTTTTTGAGACCCCCCCCTCCCCCCAAGGTCAAAACACCTCCCCACCCCCAACCTGTAGGGTGGTCTGGAGGAAAAGAAGCCAGCCCCCTTTCCAGGAATGCCTGGTTCTGAACTCACTTCACCACCCTTCCTTGTTCCATTACCGTTTGTGTAGGGATTAGCTGCCTTTTTGTTTGTCATGACCCGTGCAGTGGCATTGTTGACCTGTTGAGAAACAAGCACCAGGTTACTGACAGACTTTGGGTCCAAATGGAATTCCTCTTCCCTGGACCTCAAGGAAAACATCAGCATTCAAAAGGCTGCTGAAGGTTTGCGTCAGATCCTCCATGATTTATGGGCCAATCATCCTAAGCAAAGGAAATTTGCTTGCCACACTACATTTGGTAGTTCTTGACATCTTGGACTATGAGCCTTCTGAGTCCTAATCTTACAGCTCTTTCCTAGTGTGCTGGCCACAAACAGGAGTGCAACATTAGAACCACGTGGGCTTGTTGTAAGGGACTACTGCTGAAACTCTCTCTTCCCAGGGCCACGTTCACAGCTAGCATGCAGGGCCCTGCACAGGCAGTTTTCATGCATACTGGAAGTACCATTAACTGGACAGGCTAAGCAAGGCAGGCAAGAGGAGGCCTAAGAAATCAGATTAGCAGAACAAAAGGGCAGGAGTTCCAGCAGAAGAGGATGTCAGGGGCAACAACGCAGCACCATCCCTCTACCTCACAACTCTGATGAACCAGGGATCATCTTCAGCACTCCAGTGTGAACAAAGGGCTCAACAACTACCAAGAACTACATTCACAGGAGATTCTTTTGCATCCTTTACACGGTCTATTCTGAAATTGCTCTGTACTTCCTCTTTGGAAGGCAAAGAGCAAGGAAGGCAAAGAGCAGGAGGCAAATGCACAGGATGATTTAGGCAGATTTTCTGGGAGTTTGGAGGCTTGGGGATATTATACTTCTCTGCCTTCTCTTAACATTGTCTGAAATGACTGCTTATAGCAGATTCTTGGTGGAGACATTCTGCCTTCCTTCCCTTCTGCATCCTCCCCTACCAAAAGCACAGGACATGCAACATTCACTCGCCCGCCTGCTTGTCCTGGCTAATCCCAGAGACAGATATATATATATATATATATATTTAAAAGAGTTGTGATACGGTTGCAAGTGTGAGGTCTAATGCCCGACGCAGAGCAGGCAGTGCATTTGTTCGCACCTCAATTTTGCGTCCCTCTACGATGGTGCCGTTCAGCTTCTCCCGTGCCCGATCGGCATCTGCACTAGTTTCAAAAGTTACAAACCCAAAACCCTGTGAGTGAGGGAGAGAAAGGAAAAAGGAAAGAAAAAGAGAGAGGTTGGGGAGGGAGAGAGGTAGGAAAAGGAGAAAAGGATGAAGAAAGAAAAAGGGGGTGGGAGGAACAGGACAGAGAGAAGGGGTGAGTAAGGAGCAGCAGAGAAAAGAGGCAGGATGTGAGTTTCCCAAGCCTCCCTAAAGACCGGGCGAGGGGGGGGGCGGGTCAGGGGTGGGTGGGGAAGGAGCAAGGACAAGGGAGGATAAGGACTGAGAGGAATAAGAGGACAGGACAAGATCTGCATCACCACTCCATTATGCCATTACGACCCAAAAGGATTGCAAATGTGTAGGATCTTTCCCCCCCCCCCCGTGCCTGACTACTGGCTTTGCATTTATATCATCCAGGCTAGAGAGAGACAGAGTAGCCCTCCTAAGTGTGAAGAGGCTGCAGAAATAGCTGAGGCCTAGTTCTGCCCCCTCCAGAATGCTCAACCATTGTGTGGCGCCTGATCAGCTTCTGTGCAGTCTAGCTCCTACAGTCAATAGTGGAACAGCAGGAGTTTAAGCACTGAAAGGATTTCCCAAGTTTCTTTCAAACTTAAAATACCTGAATTACCTCCTGGAAACAAAATCCAATAGTGTATTTTCATTCTATTTCGGGAGGAAGAAATATCCACACGTTTCCTCCAAACCTTAATATCACATTGCCTTAAGTAGCATGTTATGTTATTTTATTTCTCTCTCTCTCTCTGTCTCTCTCTCTCTCTCTCTCTCTCGCCCTCTCTGGTTAGAGCAATTTCTAATCTCACCATGAGAGGGTGATCGTTTTCTGCATTAAATTACTTTAGTGATGGCTTTGTGGCCGACAGTTTTTCCTCTTTCTATAGGACTCCGAATCTAGAATTGCTTTGGTTAATTATTTTCAACCAGCAGAGTTGTTTTCAGAGGGAAAGTTAAAATATCAAAATCTCATTCTTAAATCTAAAGTCACAGGATTTGAAGGGATGGTGAGGAAAGGGTAGTTAGAAACCAGGAGTCACCCTGTGGCATAGAAAGGAAGTGGTGAAGGCAGGAATGCAGAACGGAGGAGAAAGACTGGCCCCTGGGAGCACCCATCTACAGGGACATTTGGGTTGTATCAGACACCAACATGTTGAACCCACCTTGGAACCACGCTCATTGAAAATGATCTCAACATCCAGGATCTTTCCAAATTGCTGGGGGAGAAAAAGAGGGACAGGGGAAGGGGGAAGAAGGAAAGGTGAAAATGGGAGTGGAGACATCATTTCTTTTCATCCCGGCTTGGAAAACCCTCGTGCTTTGATTTATTCCTAAAGGGCATGGAAAACCCTTGTGCTTTGATTTATTCCCAAAGGGCATGGTGTGTAGACCTATCTGGAACATCCTTGAGTATCAAATACAGGTAGTTCTCATTTACAGCTAGTCCTCGACTTACAACCACAACTGAGCCCAAAATTTCTGTTGTTAAGTGAGACATTTGTTAAGTGAGTTTTGCCCTATTTTACGACCTTTCTTGCCCCTGTTGTTAAATGAATCACTGCAGCTGATAAGTTAGTAACCCGGTTGTTAAGTGAATCTGGCTTCCCTTATTGACTTTACTTGTGAGAAGGTTGCAAAAGGTGATCACATGACCTTGGGACACAGCAAAAGTCATAAATATGGACCAGTTGCCAAGTGTCTGAATTATGATGGGGATTATGACCATGGGGATGCTGCAAATTATGACCATGGGGATGCTGCAAAGGTTGTAACTATGAAAAATGGTCATAAGTCATATTTTTCAGTGCCGTTGTAACTTTGAACGGTCACTAAACGAATTGTTGTAAGTCGAGGGCTATTTGTACTGACCGCAACTGGAGTCAGCAACAACATTTCTAAGCAACATGGTTATTAAGTGAAATGTCATGTGGTTGTGCCCAACGTACGTCTGTTCTGCTGTAAGTTTTAAGTTACCTGATTGTGACTTGACATTTCTTGCCAGCTTCCCCACCGATTTCGCTTGTTGGAAGCTGGCTGTGAAGACCGCAAATGGAAATCACATGACTGTGGGACCCCTGTGATTATCGTAAATGCACACTGGTTGTGAGGTGCTCAATTTATAGTCACATATCTACAGAGTTGCTGCAACAGCCACAAGTTTGAAGATCAGTTGTAAACCTATTCAGTGCTGTCGTAAATTTGGTAAGTGAGGACTACCAGTATTTATACACATACACAGAAAGAAGTTCTGGGGTCTAGCATCATACATAGGCAGATGCCACTTTACTTCTACTGGCCCCTAGGACCATCATCCCTGGAAGTACAGGAATGTTTTCTGCATTATTCAATGCTCAGCTGTTAAATAACATGTTCTAGCAATGCTCAGACTGAGAAACAAGTTAATCCTGCCTGAACCCTGATAATCACAAGACCTGCAGAGCACTGGGGCGTCAGAAGGAACAGATAAGAGTTCCTGCCAAAGAGGAATGAAAGCAAGAAGCAGGCACTTCAAATACATGGATGATGAAAAGATATAACAAGAATATGTAGAAACTGTATAAAGATAAGAAGCAGATTTGACAACGATGGGACCCAACATTGTTAGTTTGCATGATATCGTTATCTTGGACTGATTTTCTAAATTTATAAATGGTGATAAGTAATACTCTGTTTTAACCATTGTTTGTTAAGCCAGTCCTAGTGGTTCACACACAACATTCAACTGTAAACTATGTTTTACTAACTATAATGTCAGGTTCACATATCACATGAAACAAAAAACCCGACTAAATTATAATGTAAAAGACAGAGTGAAGACAGCCAGTTCCTTTCCAAGATGACCACAGGTCTTTGTACATTCCTATGTTTATTTAGCACAGGAAGGTGATAGACTTACTCCAAACATTTGCCGCAGATCAGGGTCCCGGAAGCGGAAAGGGATGTTGGAAACGTGTAGCCGCTTAGGCTGCTGCTTGTCGGAACCATTCTCTGGTAGGTGTAGTGTCTGGTTGTCTGTCTGCGCTGCTTCATCTGTCTGCTGGTGAAAATAAGTAAATTAAAGCACCATTGTGATTCTTTCTAGGTTTGTGTGCGCGCCCGCGTGCACGTGTGGGGTGGGGCACCATTGCTGCTTGTGAAAGACAGATTTCAAAGGTATGAAATGAATCCAGCAAAAGTGCTGGATTAGATTTGGGGCAATTAGATTTTCAGCCTTCAGGCATATTGACTTGGGTTTAATATATAATCTGTTCTTCTGCTGAAGACTGGGGTCATTTTTTGCAAGTCTTATTCTGGAGTGCTTGGGGCTGGAGCCATTTCTCTGTTTAATCCACTCATTTTTTTTTGTTCTTTCTCTTTTCTCCCCAACCCCACCCCATCCACCAGCCCAGACTTTCTTTCTGCCTGGAAAGCAGGCTGTTCTTGATACAGCTCTGGAGCAATCTACTTTCAGAGGGCTCCTTCCATCGCAGTGCCCCACTTTGATTTTGCTTCTTACGCCCCCCCCTTCTGCAGGTGGTCTGAACTCATAGCTTCAGGGGGCTCTTTTATTTTAGGTCTCCCCAACATTTTTTCTTCTCTTGTACCCCATTTCCCTGTCCCATTCCCTTCCCCTGCCTAAGATAAGGCCAAACCCCGGGGTCTTTATGCTGCAGGTCCCCATAATCCTGAGAGGTATTGGGACTAGGCATTCCTATGAAAGTGATGTTACTTGATTGCCAACTTTTAATGTCATCCCGAGACTAGGCTCACACAGTGTGCTACCGCATGGTTTGTTTAGCTATGGCTTGCTGGTTAAAAAAAAATGAAGAGCTGGGTTTATCCGACATTCAAGCCATAAGCCATGACTTAGAAGCACGATAACTAGGTGAGTAGAATACAGCGAGCCAAACACAAACAAATCACAACATGGTTTAGTGCAATGTGAAAAGCCAGTCAGGGAGTGTTGGCATATGCTCTCACTTAGGGATTAAGAATGTGAGCTGTGAAACTGAAGTCCCCAGTTCAGCTCTTTCATTTGGTCTTGGACCGGCCGCCATCCTTCTGCTTCAGCTTCTCCATTTATGAAACAGGGGCCCTACTCTTACCTAGGACAGCAGTGCCGCCCGAGAAAGTGGAATAAGAACTAGCATGGGCCCAAACCCACACAGCTCCAGGAAAAGGAGGCTGGAGATGTGCTGGCTCCATCCTGGGTTTGCATGCATTCCTGCACACAGGTGGGGGGCCCGAGCTCACTCTCAAAGCTGCGTGGTGGCGAGCAGCCAGCCTGGCACTCAGGGATTGAGGAGCAGCTGGGAAGTGCTCACTCAGCGCTTCCTCGCTGAGCTGCATTACAACCACATCATTGGCACGATCAGATTGGCAAGCGGCCAAGCAGGTAGATTACAAGTGATTAGGGACACAAAGGGAGCCAGGAAACTTAAGTGCTGAGCCACAAATGCCCATGGGGGTAGCAGGGTGCTGGAATGGTTTCTCTGCACTGGCCTCCTGCTGCATAAGAACTCTGTTATTTTCACCTTGCTCTCTTTCGATCCTTTGCTATCTCTGGGTCTCAGATGGAAGCGGAACAAGGCCAAGCAGACAGACTAGGAATGGAGGCAGAGAGGGCATGGGATCTGCAGGCTCGGTCTTCCCTGCTACCCATAATGCAGCCTCTCAGTCATGAGCCAATAGGTCCATTTTTCCAACAGAAATTTCCTTATATCCTTCTCATCTAAGTATACACATTTCCCACCCACCCCCAAAGTTCCATCCTTCCAGTTTGCATTTTTCTGGGAGGAGACATCCCTTTCTTCATTAGATGTCTACTTCCCTATGCTGCCCTCGTGCAGGCAGGCTTTACAGCAAGGTCAGGCCCTGTAGGCAAAGTCTCTTACCGGTACCGTTTGTGTGCCTGCTATGGACTGCGTGCTGGCATCAGTGCCCGGCTGTTCGGAGTGGCTCTGTGCTGGGGTGTAGAGCGTCAAGGCATGCTCAGGTACTGTGCTCTGCCCCGAATAGTCCTGTGCTGGATGCGGGTGTGGTGGTGGAGGAGCGTACTCTGGAGGGATACCATTCTGTGGGGGGGGTGGATATGTTGCTGGGGGATAGGGTTGAGCCATTGCGTCAGGCGGAGCCGTGGCGTCCTGATTGCCCTGCAGAGATAGGATAAGAGAATACTCCTTACTCATGGCTTACAATCTGAAGCCAGGCTGTGAGCTTCAACCTTCATCAGTAACTCACTCTCCGTCCAGCAGCTCAGGTGAATTCCAGTTAATCTTCCCATAACACAAGGCAGTTAAGTATTGGCTTAAAGCAGTAATTGCATCCAACACGGCAAGAAAGAATGCTCTCAACACCCACCTTTTATCTGCCATGGAATTGCTGGACATCGTTTTAGAGGAGCAGAGTGGAAGCCCCATGCACGGGATGATAAAATCTGCAGGGTAGATGTGCCCGTTGTTATTCTAGTTTTTAATGGATTTGATTAATCTCTAACTCTCTTCTGGGAGAATTAGAGACATAAAAAGCATCTCACTGAAGGCAAGTTGGAATTACAAGGAAAAGATAAAATTATGTGTAGAACAAATAAGAACCTGCTCTAGATAACCTGTCCAGCAACGTCATGGAGGATCAAAAGTACATTTCTTTTATGGCATTCTTTTTCACGTATATTTTGAAAAGCAATTAGCTATTTAAAAAAATTCTCAGTATGACAAATTGCAACTGGCTACCAACTTTTATGCTTGTACATCTGAACTGCAGGTACATCACCTGGACACCCATGGACTTAACCATAGTATCAATTTGTCCTTTAGAGCAGGGGTGTCAAACTCAATTTCACTGAGGGCCCCATCAGCATTGCGGTTGCCCTGGGGGGGCTGGGTGGGTGTGGCCAGAGTGGATGCAGCCTACTGGGTGGGCGTGGCCAGTTCTACATCATTCACGTCAAGGGTGCCTATGGGGGCCTGGGCAGGAGTGGGACAGATCTGAGAGTCTCTGGCAGAAGGGGGTGGGACCGGGGCAAGTGCAAAGGCATGGTCCACCGGGGCAAGTGCCAAGATGGCCACCACAAAATTGTACATTGGCTCCCGGCTGGCCTGGGCTAGGGCCAAGGCAGCGGGGGCTGTTCCCTCACTGTTTCCAGGATGGCTTCGCGGGCCACATGAAACCACTTCGCAGGCTGCATCTGGCTCCCGGGCCTTGTGTTTGACATGTCTGCTTTAGAGATGGAAGAAAGTAAATGGATGTTGGGTGAAAAAAATGGAGATTGGAAAAATTGCCTTTAGGATAGGAGGATGCATCCCCGGGTCATGCTTATCCCAGCTGAAAGGGAAGGAAAGGGGCCAAGAAAGCAGCAAGATCTTTGTAAGACACAGTATGTCTTTCTGTATATTAACATAAACAATTACCTCGATCAAAGGTCACCCATATTTCTAAATGTTGGGCCTACTAAATTTCAAGATTATACTTTCAAATGGAGGTGGAAATGTCCTTTCTTCCAAAAGATACACGGGTTGTCACCTAAGTATTGATTTAAGATGAGGGATTTTACTATTCCCGCTATTTTTGCCCTTCCTGCCTTCCTGCAAAAATTGAACCTACATGTCCCATTCTCCTATAAGGATACCTAAAATTATTTATTCAAAATCAGTGTGATATGTGGTGGCATTATCAACATCTAAAAGTGGCCTACTTTCCCGTTTTAAAAAAGGGAAGAGGATTCTGAACTGGAGAAGAACATGGCATTTGCCAAACGATAGCAACTCAGTTTCCTAGATAATGCCTCAAAAATGTGTTAATTTCAACGAAGGGTAGAAAAGAAAAACAAGCACTACTCTACATTAGATGTCTGTGGTTGCTTCTACACTCGATACACTTAGTGCTGCTGAGACAATGTTTTTCCACAATTTTCTGGAAGTGGAATTAAAATCAAAGTTCCACACAGCACTGAATGTAGCACTATGTTATCCACAACATACTCTTCCATGGTTTAGATTTTTCTTTAATGTTTATTCAGAATTAAATCCCATTCATAGAAGTCTTTCTCAACATTCACGATTTTTTTTGCCCAGTTTACAGATCCTTACCATTAAATTGTTTCTTCTTACTTATGACTACCCCATTTATATATAGCCAATTTACTGACCCTTGACCAGTCTCTCTTAATTGTTCCAATGTCTGTTTGTGTTCCTGTAGGTAGATGGAGGGAGGCTTTAATTACTGGTTTTGAGCAAAGAAATCATTTAAACCACCCCCTACCCTATGGGAACAGAAACTAATGCTGAGACATTAAACAAGGCTATTTATCATTACTAACTAGCTTATACATCATTGGTTTTTTTCTGAAATGCATCTCACAGAAAGAAAAATACAGGTAGTCTTCAACATACGACCACAATTGAGCCAAACTTTTCTGCTGCTAAGTGAGACAGTTGTTAAGTGAATTCTGCCCCATTTTATGACCTTTCTTGCCATACTTGTTAAGTGAATCACTGCAGTTGTTAAATTAGTAACACAATTGTTAAATGAATCTGGCTTCACCATTGACTTTGCTTGTCAGAAAATTGCAAAAGCTGATCATGTGACCATGGGTATGCTGCAATGATCGTGTGAAAAATGGTCATAAGTCATTTTTTTTCAGTGCTGTTGTAACTTTGAATGGACACTAAACGAACTGTTGTAAGTTGAGGACTTACCTGTAATGTTTTTTTGCAAAATGAGCAATTATAAAAGGGCACAGGACACCCCCTTCCCTAAAAAAAAAATCTGAATAGCATTTTACTTGTTCCCATAGGACAGGCTGTTGTTGTAACTCATGGAAGTTTATTGCCCCTCACCCATCATAAATTATATGTGAAAAAAAAATCATGGCATGCCAACATAGAAAATACTAAACTGCAATGTCCTGGATTTTCTTTCAAGAGGAAGTGAACTAACCAGAGCACTTTCAGTGGAAAAAAAAAGTCTAATTCAGAAGAATTCAAACAATTCCTAATAAATTTTCTTTGACCTAAACTATTTTTCAAATTTTTGTTACAAATTAACTCTCTTCTACTATTTTAATATGCCTAAATTTATGCTCTGCTCAAATATTCCTTAAATAAATTTTTGAATAAAATTATTGGACTATAAATCCTTTGGCTAGCCCTAAATCTTACATTGTACTTGTTAATGGACATAATTTCTGAGAGAGAAATGCTCTCCATGGAGTAAGGAATATTCATATACATATGGACAAGAGTTCTAGTAGTAGTGGATTCTATATTCCAAGTACTGACAACATGCAACTTGGTTCATCTGGAACATTTGACAACAAATAAAGATCAAGTCTGTAGAAAATTACTTCGTCTATTATAGGAGACCCAATTTGGCAGATAGAAAAGAATGGTCAGTATAGGTAGATAGGAGCTGTTTTGAATTGGGCCAAGTATCTATTTTGCTCAGCATTCTGGGGAGAACCAAAGATTGATGGGGATGCCACAAGCAAGACATCAGGTACAACAAAAAGACAACCCAGTTGAATTCCCTGTTCACTCTTATAGACACAGAAATCAAAATCCATGACAACATGAATAATTTGGAAGAGATTCCCAATTCCCACGAAAATACCCAGCTTGGGTTGATGCATACCCATCAACTGTCATCAGGGAATTTCAAGTTATGATTCACACATGGAAGATGTTTCCAGCTTCTCTGCCTGATATTAATTGTAACTGATTGCTGTTCTATGTCTCCCACACGATGTAAAAAAAAATCATGTCCCCTCACTAGTTATCACTAGAAATATTCAGTAGGAATGTGATTCACATGATAGGGACACCTTACGTGATGACTGATCTTCAGAGGACAGCCCACACATCACGTATTATTTATTTATTATTAGATGCATATCCACCTCTTTTTTTTGTACTATTCAAGATCCTCTTGCCCCCTATTTTCCTCACAACAACTTTCTGAGGTGAGTTGGGTAAAGTCCCTCAGCCAACTTCCATGTCTAAAGGAGGACTAAAACAAGTGATCTCCCATATTCTATTCCAGCACCTTAACCACTGTGCCAAACTGGTTCTCAAACACACATCCACAGTGCCTCGCAGCCCCAATTCCCTGCACCAAGCCATCCTCCTCTGCAGATACACTTTTTTCTCACTTGCCCACCAACATAACTTCATACCTGACTGCTCCCCACACTCCTGCCTCCCTTCAATCCCTTATTCCTTGCCTTGTGCTGACAAATAGCCACCAGCCCTCTGCTAAGAGCCCAGATTCCGCATTCAGATGCTTTATAGCTGTATACCACAGTGCCTTTCTCTCTCTCTTGGGATGAAATACATCCACAACTCCTGGAGCTCAGACAGGCTCTTTAATTGTGTGTGTGGTTAATTTATGACAAGGCAACATCACAGTGGGACAGGCTTGGGCAGGCAGGCTTTCCTTGCTTGAAGAGAAAAACCTTTCCGCCCCAGGCTCTGTCTTTAGGCTCTTTTATTCCCAGTCACACCCTGGAGGATGCAGCAAAGCTGTGGCAGTGAACGTTGGGGCATTGGGAAAGCCATTTCTGAACGTGCAAATTGTTCTGTTACCTCCTTGGGTTTTTCCAGCACGGAGTCAGGCTTCATTGGGAATGGGAAAAAGGGAAGGCGGGTGCTAATATACATTTAGGAGGGGCTCCTGGCAGCACCTTAAGTTATTTTATACTAATCATACTATACACTGGAGAAGAAGTAGATGACTAAGCTCAATGCTATTACAGAAAGCTGATCTTAGTGTCCCAAATTAGCAATCTTCACTGGGAAGACACCTTTGATACCGGAGACATTTTCCCTTTAAAATTTATGTAGCTTTCTGACCACCTACCACCCACTCCTTAGCCAAGGAAAAGTTATTCAGGCAGAAATAATTGGTCCTTGAAGCTCTCCAGGAGACCATGTCTAAAGCAATGACCTCAATAAAGGCATGTATAGAAGGGAACTCCAGCAGATAATTAGGTCTCCATCCCTGGGTCCAAGGGAGGCAGCTCTATTCCTTTCTTCAAGCTTGAATAACTCTTCTCTCAAAGTGCTGGCAGTTCATAATGTCTCTGAAACCCAGAGTCTGGAGAAGGTATTCTAGCGTTAGTGCATATCTGCATAACATTCTGAATTTCCAGAAATTCTCCCTTGAGGGAGGGAGGGGACGGCTTCATGTAAACTATCCAGAAAATAATTAGGGGGCAGGAAGCAGACTTTAGGCTGAAAAAAAATTGCAGGAAGACCTATCCACTAGTTCATTGATCAGCTGAATTAGCTGGCCAGAAGCAAATGAATTCTTGGTTCAAATGAGCTTCTAAGAGACAGAGACAGGGGAAGAAGAGGGATGAAGCATGTGAATGTGTGTGCACTTGTATGCACGAGTGAATAAAGGTTGTTCAATGTAATATTCAGGCATCTCAATGAATCTGGAATCTTACTTAACTCAGACTTTGTGGGTGCTCTCCATGGTGCTAAATCTCAATAGCCTAATGTGTAGTTTGCCACACTTGATCAAAATATCCCCAAATGTTCCACTCTGAAAATGATGCTAACAGCCCATTGGATAGGATGGTTTTAGCACTCGGGGAGACCCAGGTTAATAGCCATGAACAATCAATGAGTAACTCCGGACCTATCACTTCCTCTCAGTCCAATCTACTCATAGGGTAAGCACTGTGATGATAAAACGAAGGGAGATCCCACGAATCCTTAAAGGAAAGGTGGAATATACGCCTAATAAAACAACAACAATAGCAGCCAAACCAGCAATAAACCAATCTGGATGATTTCCAGTTGTGTGGATTGCAATTCCCAGAATTCTTCAGTCGGCCGAGCCACTGCTGAAAATTTTGGGAGGTTAAGCCTATATATTTAGAAGGCATCCCGTTAGTGAAAGGCTCATTAACTGAATCTCAGAGACATATGCTGCCATATATTATACCTTTAAAATACATTAAGAAAATTTCTGAATTATTAATTTGTAAAATGTGTTTTATATATACAGAACTGCATTCCATTACTTAACTATTTTGTTATACTGCAAGAAGAAGGTGGCTGTGGTGCCATCAAACATAAGCCACACACTCCTCTGGATGGCAGCAACTAGTTTCCTGTGAAGGCAGAAGGTGTTTTATCTGCTTTGGATGACAGCTGGGGAAAAAAATCCTACTCCTTAGCCACTGAAAATGTTATCTACACTTGAGTTTTATCCCACTATTTCCAGCTCTACAGCTCCTAGTATTCCCAGCGAAAATGGCACATGGGGAGGCCACTCTAGTCTAGGAGACACATTTGCTATATAGTTGAAAGGTGCTATACTGGGAAAGCTGTCTACCTTAACACCTGCAAAAAAAAATAAGATCTTGCGGTTCTGTTGTTAAAAATATTTGATGTCACATTGGGAATTTTCCCCCTGAACTAGGAAAGAGTCTAAAATACTAAAATCTGTCATGTGATCTATCCTATTATAGATTCAGATTTACTTCTCAAGATCTGTGCCTCTTGTGACCAACACCATTTGGAAGCGAATCTAACAAAGTCCAAGAAGTCACTAGAAGGACACTGCGTAGGTGTTCATAGTATAGACAGAGAATTTTGTAAAGTCTCAAAAGGAGTGAATCTCCTCCTCAAATATTTTCCACAAATAAATATTTTTATCTGGCTCCTGTACAATGGAATAGAGATAGGGTAAGAGCTAATTATCTGTAGAAAAAAAGAAACATGACTTCCATGGCTTTTGAAACCCTAAGCCTTGATTTAGAGAAGAGTTATGTTCCTGCCTTAAGATTATTCATGACTGTGTCCCTTTTATGCTGCTTTCTTTACACGGATAGAGGGAAAGGGAATAGGGCCTGCAGTGAAGACTGACAGAAGACACAATTTTGACATATTATTTTGGAATGAATCTGAGCCCTAGTGATGTTTAAAGAGACATATTGTGCAGTACTATGCAGTAGGTGACAAAAATAAGAGATCAACAAGAAGTGGCTACAATGCAGATTATTATATAAGGGATGTTTTAACACCTGATTTACATTTTGGTTAGATTTAGGTCTTTATTCTTGTTAATTGTATACTGTAGTTTGAGGACTCCAGTGACTGTAATAGGACTATAAAAAGACAAAGCTACTGACAACCAGGTTTGGAACTGACTCTGGTGGAGGTGAATAGCTTCTAACTTTTAGAACGGAGTATGAACAGTAAAGGAACCAGGACAGACTAACATTTCATAAGGTAGAAAAAAGACCTTGAAAAAGTCATTCGAATGCTGTGCTGTGTCTATATACACAAAGATCAGAATTATACAACAAATGATTTACCCTGTTATACTCTATGGAAGCAAACACTGAACTCTGAAGAAGCAGACTAGAAAAAGTATTGATGCTTTTGCACTTTGGTGTTGGGGGAAGACTCCTGAGGATATAAGAATTAGCCAAGAAAACAAACAAACAGAACAAATCAATCAGAGTTCTCACTTAAGGGACAAACGCCAGATTCAAATTATCATATTTTGGCCACATTATCCAACAAACTAACCCTTTTGAAAAGGTTATAATGCTGGGAAGAAAAGAGAAGAGGATGACCAGAAACAAGGTGGATGGATTCAATTACACTGGCAACTGGATTACTATTAGAAGACCAGGCTTGGGAGAAATCATCCTGAGAAGTCAATGTGGTCACTTAATATTGATATCTTCTTGACAACATATAAACAATCTTCCAGGTTTTATGGCGCTGCCTTCTGTATTTGCATTTTTAATGAACCGTTTCTGGCTTTTGTTATATATTTGTGTTGCATGCAATGTGGTACTCTGCCTGAAAGTGATACAGAAATGTTTTAAATAATTACGGTTAGTATCCAGATTTTGTTTAACAAAAAGAAGTACGAGGCCTTCAGAATATGTTGGGCATGTTTTAATTAATGGACCAGGAGCTGAAATCAAGGAATTCAAAATCCAAGGCAGACCTAAAGGAAACATGATTTGTTCCAAGAAGGTCTGGGTGCTGCTCTGTATGTTCCTTATCCCATCTACTTCTCCTTGGGGAAGTTCTGTCTCCTTTCCTAATCATGCCAGAGAAGAACAGAATCCCTTTAATGTCCGATGTTTCTTTGCGTCACTTAACTTTTCTTTTGGCACATGCCTACACTCGAGAAAGATTGCAAAAGAGAGAGAAGTCTAGCCCTTCTGAGAATCTTGCCTCAGCAGTCCTGATTTAAATGACCTGACTTCAGAAGTGTTTTGGTTCTTGAGCTCAGGCTCTATGGAGTTAGGGACCACATTGGGCAATTTTGTGAGTTACGCACCTCGGCGTTCCTGATTCCCTTGGTCTCTCTAGCTCCAAAAATAAACTTTATTCAGGCTACCTGTGAATTCTTTATATTCTTCCCTCTTGTAATGCGTACTGTATTAAGAGCCCCTGTTAATGTGGAAGAAGACCACATTAAAATATTTATCTGAGACAAGCTAGTGATAATGGCAGAGGAGAAACAAGCAAATCTCGGTTGTTCGTTTTCAACACTGCTGAAATTTAGCCAAGTTATCCACGTTTTTATTAGAAAACAGTAAATATGCATATATTTGCTTGTTGTCAAATAAATGCATAACAATTGGTAGTGCAGGTAGCCCTCGACTTACAGCTGCAATTGAACCCAAAATTTATATTGCTAAGTGAGAAATTGGTTAAGTGACCTTGCTTGTCAGAAGGACGCTAAAGGGGATCACATGATTCTGGGACTCTGAAACTGTCATAAATGTGAATCAGTTGTCCAGCATCCGAATGTAAATCATGTGACCACGATGGATGCTTCAACAGTCACAAGTGTGAAAAATGGTCATAAATCACTTTTTTCGGTGCCGTTGTAACTTCAAATGGTCACTAAACGAACTGTTGTAATTCGAGGACTACCTGTACCATAATTTCCTATCTACCGGAACGTAGAAATTTGGCCATGTGCCCTATTCTCTACTGTCTAGGAAACAGAAATTACACTTAGTGTTAATACCACTTTACAATGCCTTGGTAAGGCCACACTTGGAATACTGCATCCAGTTTTGGTCACTGCGATGCAAAAAAGATGCTGAGACTCTAGAAAGAGTGCAAAGAAGAGCAACAAAGATGATGAGGGGACTGGAGGCTAAAGCATATAAGGAACGGCTGCTGGAATTGGGTATGTCTAGTTTAGTGAAGAGAAGGACGAGGGGGGACATGATAGCAGTGTTCCAATATCTCAGGAGTTGCCACAAAGAAGAGGGAGTCAAGCTATTCTCCAAAGCACCTGAAGGCAGGACAAGGAGCAACGGGTGGAAACTAAGCAAGGAGAGAAGCAACCTAGAACTAAGGAGAAACTTCCTGACAGTTAGAACAATTAACCAGTGGAACAACCTGCCTCCAGAAGCAGTGAATGCTCCAACATTGGAAGTTTTCAAGAAGAGACTGGACTGCCATTTGTCTGAAATGGTATAGGGTTTCCTGCCTAAGCAGGGGGTTGGACTAGATGACCTCCAAGGTCCCTTCCAACTTTACTATTATCATTATTATTATTATTATTATTGACAAAGGAAACCCATCAGAGATTTTTTTTAAAGGGTTATCAATTACAAGCATCATTCTGAAGCAGAACGTGAATTCTAGGTCCCAAAGAGTAATAATAGTAATAAAAAAAATATTTTGAATGCAGGGCTACTAGTGAGGAGCAAGAGGTGCTTGCAATTTTCCCCAGCTGCAACATCAGCAAGCTGTTACTCTGCAACATCCGAATAAAAGGATAATGCAATATCTAATGTAAATGCTGGCAGCTTCTTTGGCTCATCAGCTTTCTTCCCTACTAAATCCCACCTAACTGGGCCAAAAGAATCAAAGTAAATATGTTTCACTGTGGTTTTACCAGATCATCGCTCGCATTTGGAGACTTTCTCCAATCACTTAATGTGTTGCAGAGAAACCATCCTGATGTTGCATCATGTGAAATGAGTCGGATTAAAAGCAGGAAGAGGGCGGATGGGCACTTCGGAGAACACATTGCAGGGAAGAGAGGCGCATCAACACAGGTCACAACTAATG